CCGTGTGATAAACCAGCAGTAAATTTCATTTTAGTGTATGGGCTCGGAAAGGAAACTGTCCTTTTGTTGTTTGGGAGGGAGGAAGATTTGGAATACATCTGCCGAAGTGGAATTGGATTGTCGTCCAAATCTACACAGGTGCTGAATGACTCAGAATCATTATCTCTTATGTCTATGCTAGATTCCCTTTTTTCTTTCCTCCTCCGCCATTGAAGAAGAAACTTAAGGCGCCTTGCAGCATAAGTTACAGAACTTGACTTCTTATTGTTTACTGAGTTGGGTGAGCCAAACTGTCTTAGCTCACCTGAGAACGTGTTGAATTGCATGCTTGACTGATCGCAACTGGCATCAGAAGCATTGTCAATGCCTGTGTATAAGAATATCTCTGCATCGGGAATTCTGAAAGAGGTTCCCGGACTGCTCCCAATACCCTGCATTCTCAAATGGGAAACAAGGGCACTCCTTGCTTTACGGTCCTGACAATTAGAGATCCCTCCAGCTGAAACCAATTGCTTGATCAGAAGTTCCGAAGATGCTGACTTTGGCCTTTGCTTAAGAATATCTAGAGGGGTCATGCCGCCAGAATCACGGATGTTTAAATTAATTGATGGAACAGTCATGAGGAGTTCCACCAAATTAGATTGAATGTTCTCGGTTACAGCCATGTGAAGAGCAGTTCGTCCATCATTGTTCTTAACATTAACAACGTCCTGCATGTTCGCAGTATCACCACATACTAATTGCTTAATAAGCTCAATCTGTTTGTCCAGTCTCCGGAAACCAGGGCTTCTGAAACCAGCCACTGCCAAATGCAGAAAGGTATCTCCATAGTTGTTTGACAAAGTGGTTAATGAGGGAGATGCACGAATTAGGACCTCCACCACAGCCAAGTGACCCCTATAAGCGGCCACATGTAAAGCTGTGTTCCCTTGATTATCTACAATTGTGATGGTATCAAAGAATGCTATTAGATACTCAACCACCTGCACAACAGAATGATAAAACTTTTAACATTATAAGTAATATTTCAATGTTTAAAGGAGTATGAACGATATAAAAGGTTAAAATCTAACGAAGCAAGAAAATGGATTAAAAAGAATACAAAGAGACTTCCATTCAGTCAAGTTTTGGTGCCTGTGAGGCCGTTAAATTTGGTGAGCAGCCATCAATATGTTGAAGCCAAACTATTTATGAGTGGATGTTAAGGCCAAACTAACAATTAACCGTTTAACTGTTTATTCTAATTTAATTAAACCAATCCTCATTCCATTTCAGCAATACAACTCAAAACTAATAAGCAGTCACATAAACTGAAGAAATAAGTAAATAACTGAAGAAAAATCTCTTCCAACTTCTGTAAACCTCAATATCAGACCTAGCGTACCTTCAAGTACACAACATTCTACTAAACGATGCGAAAGTAACTGAATTCAATCGTCTAACAAACATATAGAACGAGACTCACCTCAACCTGACCTCTGCCAGAGGCTGTATGCAAGATGGTAGATCCCTGAGCATCTCTATAAACCAATACATCCTCACAGTCCCTAAGCAGGTCCCTCAAAATCTCCAAATTGCCACCTCTAGCAGCGGCATGAACCGCCCGGTTCATCATTTCCCACTTGAAATCCGATGTAATATCACCCAACCTCTCTTCCAATTCTCCATTGCTGAGACTAAACCTTGGCGACACAGAGAAATCAAGCAGCAGCCTGAAAACCTCAGAGTTCTTGCTCCTGGCTGCAGCATAGAATATGTCAGTGACTCCATACTCTCCTTCTCCAAAAACAAGAAGAGGGTCTCTGTCCAGCAACTCCCTGACAAACCCCACATCCCCGGCTGAGGCGGCGGTGTAGAGAAGCCATCCGCCGTAGCCGGCCCTGACGAGAGAGTTGTGTCCACTCTGCATTTGGCACTCGTGGAGGAGCCTCTTGGCAACTTGTGACCGGCATTTGGCAACATCATCGAGCTGAGCCTCGTCGTCCCAGACAGTTTCGAGGCGGCGGATACGGCGTAGTGAGGTCAGCTTGATGAGGAGATTAGTATCAAGGTGAAGAAGCTCACAGACCAAATCATATAAGCCATTGGCTGCTGCCCAATCGATTGGTGATGCATACCACCATTGGTCTCCCGTGCTCTCCCACCTCAGAGGGAAGTAAGATGGTGGCATTGTGACCCAAAAAATGGCTATCAAATACTCAAATACCAACTCTCAGAGGAATTTTGTCGAGCACATGGACTGCAAAATCCAAAACCCAGAATAACAGAGCACACAAAAGCAAATCAGAGATGAGACATAAAGCGAAAGTGAAAAGGCCCAACAGGGTACGAAAGGAATTTGCTTTTTTAGTGGGAAAGTTGCAGAAAAGCTAAAGATCTAAGTTTTTCACTGGAATGGAGGTATAAGAATCAATGCAACTGAGTTTGTTAAACCAAAAAAAAAGAAAAAAAAAAGATTGGAGAACGGACCCATCAACTGTATGAGAACGACATGCAGTTTTGGATCAAACCCAATAGATTTTAAGCTGAGAAATTGGTATTGGAGGACTGGGAGGGCAATATTAAGCAGGAAAGGCCACTGTCTGTTTCCACTTTCCAGATGAAGCTATGGAGGTGGAAAGATAAGCAGGGGAGACTTGGCCTTTTTAGGAAAAGGAGAGAAGGAGAGGAGCCCAATGAGTGAAGGTGGGGAGGAAAGTGAGAATTTTGGAAGATAATAACAAAACAAGAGGAAAATGACTTAGAGACAAAAGCATCGAAAGATAGAGATTCTTTTTCGGTCCGTGGGGGCGCAGTGCAGATTGAGATTTGAAGTCACTTAGAGTGAGGGAGAGTTTTGTAAAGATTGCATAGGAGACCGGTGACGGACCAAACTAGGCAGATCATTCATAGTTTTGAGTAATCTTTTATGAAGAGACAAAATGAAAATGATCGACGGTACTGGTTCCAGAAATTCGTTACTTTTTTGTGTTAAGTTACTCGTTCATTTAAAACACGCATAGAAGATTGATTCGATAATCTCTCGTGTGTATCTTAGACAGATAGATGAACTTAGCATAAGAACATATGTTTTAAGAGTTTCTCGTGTTGGTTAAATTGGGTATTCTCATCCCTTAATTTAAGGGGCTTTTATTATTTTGGTAACAACTAATAATGTATTTCTTTTAGGAATTAGTGTAGTATACATGTGACAAAGAAACCCTAATTATATTGGTATAAATACAAGTAGGGCAGAAGGGGGTCACGGTCACACCGACAGTGGGGGTATCCTATGGTAGGGTTGACCTAATAATCTGGGTGCATAAATGGGAAGTTGGGTTGTAAATAGAGGACCCTCCATGCTGGAATTCGTCCTTAAATTATATTTAAATGAGAATAAAAGGGCACGTGGACACTTTAATTATTTCATCTCTATGCTTTTTAATGATCATCAAGACCTACTAATTGAGCGTCTGAGTTACTTTTTATATTATCAATTGATTTTATGGTATAACTTTAATTTTTTTTTTTTTTTTATCAGTTGTAGATACGTGTTGCTCAAATTTGGTGAGCAAGCATGGCGGACAAAGGGTCCCCTGATCCCTTAATGAATTTGTCTCTAATTATGACAATAGTCTAGCCATGAAACATATATATTTGTAAATCCTCCGCATCGTTATAATCAACAAAACGCAAACAATAACATAGACTACAATTACATTATCGAAAATATCAACACAATATCGCTAACAAGATCCCAAAGTATGGGAAGGGGAAACATGAGCAATGAGGAGAGCAAACATTAATGGAAGAAAATCATGACTACCAAAAAGGAGTGGGAGAGTAAAAGAAGGGAGAGCAGGTAGACAAGGGTCAAATAAATACGAGTAAAAGAAGAGAGAATTAGTTAAGATTAAGTAGGTGGGCCATGTTGCATCGCTGCTCGCACATGGCTTGGTTCGTGGTTAGTAGATCGTAAATATCATTGGTTCACACGAGAGAAACTGAGCTGATTCTCTGCAGAAATTCGTAATCTTTTATATGGTCACGTGATCCAATATCTCCAATGTTGCATCGCCATCGAACACACGGTGAAATATTCTTCAGGATAAGAACGACAAATGCAAGGCATCGTCGCTTGTCAAAATTTAGGAACGGAGTGCCCTACCACGACAGCAGGTTAGGTACAAATGAGCATAGAACATTGCACTAATTGCGTGTTTATTAATTCGTAATCTGGAATTTAACAGAAAAAAAAAAAAAAAGAATTTGATTGACGAAGGTTCAGGATCCAGATTTCTATCAGAAGTACGCTAAACTACCTTTGGATTAAACTATTACGCCTGGGGCGTTGTAGGATTTGCTTGTGTGCACACGAAGTGTGGTGTTACCACCCCATATTGCACAAGTATGTCAGAGTGCTGTTTTAGGTAAAGAGGGGTCAATTTTCCGATGTGAGATTCAGGGTCTAAACATTCACCATTACAACTTATTTACGAGTATTAGCACACATACCAAGGCAGAGGGGGACTTTATATAAGTGTGATGGCATGAAATAAGAATTCAGATCCTTTCCAAATTTTTGTATCCAAAGCCAACGGTTTAAAAATTCAAACTACTCGATTTAAATCACATGACTTTTATTAGCCCATCCCATTGAGATCACTTCACATAAAACCAAGCCTGTAAACATCTTGGAGAGATTTTTCACCTAAACGGTCCGGTCCAGGAATCCGAGGTCCATCAACTCCAAAAACAGAGATCCAGCAGAACAGCTTAGGCAAATCTAGGGTATACAAAGAGAAAGCAAGAAACGGACTTAAGCTACAATGACATATCACAACTTTGCCCGATAAGCATTACCAAAAGGGAATAATGGCGAGTTTAAGGGGCAGGAAGTTGAAGTTAGAAGAGAGGAGCAACCGCCCTCCCCTCAGTTTTTACATTATATCAAAAATAGATAACCCAGGGAGCATTTAGTCACACGAAACTTCTTATTCTGAACTCCCAAACCATAACCTCCTAGAGACTCGACCAAAACATTTAGAAGATTAAAGCCTTGGATGCTCGAGGAGGGCTTATCATTTAGCAGGTGGATGCTACGTGCACGATCAAGTCTACCACACGGGTACTGTAACCCCACTCATTGTCGTACCATGAGACAAGCTTGACAAATTTGTCGTTCAATGCAATTCCAGCCTTGGCGTCAAAGATGCTTGACCTGCAACAGCACCAGACATGTAATTAGGCTACATTCATGGTATATAGTAAACAATCAACAAAAACTACGCAGGTGTGCAAAGCGATCCCACATCAAAAAACAGGGCAAACTTGGATTCAAAACTGTTTTTTTTAACGTATTATCAATAGAATCTTGTTTCACATAGACTAACAATACCAAATTCATCAAAAATGGATTTGCTATTTTACCTGCTGTCACCAATGAAGTCGGTGGACACAACATCATCTTCGGTGTAACCCAAGATACCCTTCAACTTGCCCTCAGACTCCTCCCTGTTCATAACAGAATCACAGATGAAAATTAAAACCAACACAAACTCATGGTTATGTAGATGACAACATCCTGATAAAGAATACCAAATGCAAAGCAAAACAAGAAAAACAGAGCAGAGCAAATCTTACTTGATAGCGGCCTTGATCTGTTCATAGGTTGCAGGCTTCTCCAGCCTGACAGTCAGGTCAACAACGGAAACATCAACAGTGGGCACACGGAAGGACATTCCGGTCAATTTTCCATTAAGAGATGGGAGCACCTTTCCAACAGCCTTCATAATAACACATGGTTAGCACTACAAGACAACTTAAAAGAGATGGCCAATAGTGATGAGCATTGTTAATCAAAACTCATCAATTACCTTGGCAGCTCCAGTGCTGCTAGGAATGATGTTGAAGGAAGCAGCACGTCCACCTCTCCAGTCCTTCATTGATGGACCGTCGACAGTCTTTTGGGTGGCTGATTAACAACAGGGTAACCATAAACTTGGGTTAGTTTCAGCCTATGTTATATCAAAACTCATACAACTTAACAATTCAAGAACCAAATCTTACCAGTGATGGAGTGCACCGTGGTCATGAGACCCTCAACAATCCCAAACCTGTCGTTGATAACCTATGAACAATTGAAACAAAAAACAACGTAAATTACACATTCAATAGTATCGAAAATAAATAAAAACCAACAGAAACAAACAGACTCAAACCTTGGCAAGGGGAGCAAGGCAGTTGGTAGTGCAACTGGCATTGGAAAGAATGTGAATGTCTGGCTTGTATTCCTTCTCGTTCACACCAACAACGAACATGGGAGCATCCTTGCTGGGAGCAGAGATGATAACCTTCTTTGCACCTCCCTGGACACGAAAACAAAACGATTCAGTCCTGATGAATTTAAAAATAAAGATATAAAAGAACCATATGAATACCAATAAGGTTGACTCCACAAAGACACAATCACTATTCAGGCTACAACAAGTCAGCCTAACTTCAGGAGTAACAGATGAAGAATTCCAAAAGCTTATGCAGGATCAATTAACGAACGGGATCATAATCACTATATAGGCTACAACAAGTAACACAAAGAAGCTAAAAAGTACCAAGTGAATTCCGAATGCCTATCAATGATGTAAGAACAATCACCAGAAACGCAATTACTAGATGGCAATTGTGATAACAACCAAAATATCATATGCTATTTTCAAAAATCGAACGATCAATGCAATAGAATCATAAAACCAATAAAAAGAGAGTAAACCTTGATATGGGCAGCTGCTTTCTCCTTGTCGGTGAAGACACCGGTAGACTCAACAACAAAGTCAGCACCGCTCTCACCCCATGGGATCTCCTCTGGGTTCCTTTATAAGATCAAACAAAGAAATCATTCATTAAGCAATAAGCATTTGAATCTACAAAGCAAAACAAATATTGCGCTCCAATTGTCCCAAAAACAACAAACTGGATTCTATGCTAAGTTCAATCACTTAAGACAATAAACTAATTAGTACCTGATTCCGAAAACAGCGACAGGCTTCTCACCGAAGAGAAGGGTCTTGGAGTCCTTGACCTTGAGCTCATGGTGCTTCCATGCGCCATGGACTGTGTCGTACTTGAACATGTAGGTCTAAACACAAAACCAACCACACAAATCACTAATCCAATTCAAAATCCGAAATCAAAACTCGAAAAACAAAATAAACAACAAATCACATTCAGCATCCGAATTCGAAACTCACAAAACAAATAAACAACAGATCAGTGAAATCACAGATAGATATTCATGTCAATAACTCACCATGTAGTCAGTGGTGATGAAGGGATCGTTGACAGCAACGAGCTCAACATCGTCCCTCTGAAGAGCGACCCTAGCAACCAATCGTCCGATTCTTCCGAACCCTAAACCCCATTTCATTTCAACTCTCAATTAATTCACAGATCAAATCACAGGTCAACAACCCAAAGGTCAAAACACAAAAAGCGATGGATCCGATAGTTACCGTTGATTCCGATCTTGATCTTCTTGCCAGATGTTGCTGATCGATACAAAGAAGAACAAACAAAAATGGTCAAAACACACAAAAATTACAGAAAATTCAACAAATAAACACTAGATCAGCAGCAAAAATGGCGAAATCGAAATCAGTAATTGAGAATTAAGATCAATACCCATGATGATTGTAGAGAAAGAAAGTAAAGTCCAGAGAGAGAGGCAGATAAGAAAACTGATTGAGGATTTTAGATGGTAGTGTGAGAAAGAGTGAGCGTCGAGATATTATATATAGCGGCGAAGGGGTTAAACAAGTCGGTGGTTTTGGTCACATGCTGCGGTTTTTCTTGGACAAAAGGAAAGTCGCTTTGCAGCCGTTGGTTGCGTTTAGGGCTTTGTATTAGCCGCTGATTTATTAATATCCGCTAGATTTACTGTGAAGCGCACCCCGGCGATTGGACAAAAAGAAAATCGCTTTGCAGCCGTTGATTGCGTTTAGGGCTTTGTATTAGCCGCTGATTTATCAATACCCGCTAGATTTACTGTGAAGCGCTCTCCGGCGATTCGGTCACCCGTGACCGAAATCCTTCTGGAGATTTGGCATTAATGGGATGTGCGTGGAGGGCAAGCCGCTTCAGCTGCACGTGGCGCTCGTGAGAATGGGTCGGCGACCCTTTTTTTCTGGTATATTCGGAAGGAGATGCTGCGTTAAGGAAGGATGACGTGGCGAAATTGAAATTTTGGTCGATGAGTGAAAACTGAATAGTCAAATTAGAAAGGCTGAGCTTCTGGGATTACCGGTCAAATTCGACTTAAGGGCAAATACAATTCACGCGATGTTCTAGATAGTTTTATATACGTTTTTACGAGATTTATTTTGTAATGTATGCTAATAATTTGAATTGTTTATCATTTAGAACATTATTTATACAATATTGTGGTGAAAAAATTAGATAATATAGAACAATTAATTAAGACATTAATTTATAGTGAAGAAATTAACGAATATGGTTCTCCAAAGAAACGTTAAACCTTTAATCTACCAGTCATATGATTTTAGATTTTGTGATTTTTGGTAAATATGATATTTTAGAGAAGAACTAAAAGGTAAACAGTTCGTATCATTGACATACGTTAATGATGTAACAAAAACACGTGTCAATTGGAAAAAAAAATTGGTGCCACAGATCCATTTTCATAAAAAAAAATTATGGTTAATGTACAAGAAAAAGGTCTCAAGTCATAGATTAAATTCTTGTGTTCACGATAGAGAGATTAAAGTTGTGCTTGAATGTTGGTGAAATTTTATATTTTGACTGAGTATATAATTTTTTATCTATGAATTTTATTTACGAAGAAAGATAAAGTTTACATGTTACTTTGCCTAATTGCCTTTTAGCTTTACGCAATCTCAACCTCATAACGCATTTTCTTAACATTTCGAACAAATGCATGTCTATTTATGTGTTGTTGACGTAGCAACTAGCAAAAAACAAATTTTGCTCTATACCTTTTGAAATTGATTTAAAAATGATAGATATCGTCGTTGAGAATTTTGAAAGACTTATTGTCATGCCTTACCGACGGATGGTGATGCATCAACTCATCCTGCCCACAGATTATGCACCAATTGACCAGTATTATTCACATGTTCATTCTTTAAATCACAACCATTACCTTGATCAAGTAACTACTAGTCTTGTTGCTCAATCATCTATTCTAAGTTAGAATAATCTATATATACACAGTGACAAATCTAAAATTTGAACTTTGAAATTGTCGAACACTTGGTAGGTTTGTTGTCGTTAGTCGAACCATGTTGCACATTCACAATTTGATGAGTGTTATCAAGAGCTTTGAGTGTTGTCGGCGCAACATTACATCAAGTCTATTAAGATATGCCTAGCAGACATTAAACGCTTCATGATTACAAGTGGGATCTATATCAAATATTTAGAGGGTCTCCAAAGTACCTTCACATGCATGTTTCCCCCGATCTCCAAGTGGCCTTGGAACCCCATATGCGACACTTGCATACACTTTATCGCTACATTTTCTTATACATTCAGTTTGACGTATTTTATCCATACCAATGTTATAATTATTGATATCGACAATGATCGAGTTATCGTTTCCAGTGGCAGAGCCATGTGACATCCCACATCGCCCAAGATAGTGATCCTTATATGTATATTCTCATCCTTACCTAGCACGATACCTTTTGGGAGCTCACTGGCTTCGGGTTCCGTATGAAATCCGAAGTTAAGCGAGAAGGGGCTAGAACAATCCCATGATGGGTGACCCACTGGGAAGTTGCTCGTGAGTTCTCAAAAACAAAACCGTGAGAGAATGGTAAGCCCAAAGCAGACAATATCGTGCTACGATGGTGGAGCAAGGCGGGGAAGTGATCCGCCCCGGGCGGGGATGTGACAATTTGGTATCAGAGCCTAACCCTGGTCGCGAGTGTGCCGACGAGGACGTCGGGCCCCTAAGGGTGTGGATTGTGACATCCCACATCGCCTAGGGGAGTGATCCTTATATGTATATTCCCATCCTTACCTAGCACGAGGCCTTTTGGGAGCTCACTGGCTTCGGGTTCCATGGGAACTCCGAAGTTAAGCGAGTAGCGCGCGAGAGCAATCCCATGATGGATGACCCACTGGGAAGTTGCTCATGAGTTCCCAAAAACAAAACCGTGAAGGAATGGTAAGCCCAAAGCGGACAATATCGTGCTATGGTGGTGGAGCGAGCCCGTGAAGTGATTCGCCCCGGGCCGGGATGTGACAGCCATGCTTCAGCTGCCTATGCACAAAATATGAATACGTTCTTAACTCAATCAGAGTCTTTCAACGTAGAAAATAAAATACCTAAATATATATGATAAGAATTTTTACCATCTGCAAAAGTAGGAAAACACTTAAAAATACTTGCAAGAGTACAAGGTTTTCGTAGTATAGCAGCTCAAGCAAAGTCGTTTTCCACATGGATTGAATGAATAGTTTGTGTTTAAAACCAACTCTCAATTAATTATTTAAAACAAAGTTTGTAAAATGTTGATTTTAGAATTTAATATAATAAAAACGAATTTTAAAATAAAACAATTAAAGAAATTAACTAGAGAACAATTTAAAAGAAAATCAATTTGTAAAAGCCTAGAGTTCTGCTGTCCCCTTAACAATCCTATGCAATTTTACCAATTACTTATGAATTTCCACACACATGCTTTGAATTTTAGGTTTTCCTAATGCATATATTTCCTCGTGATGTTCAAGTGAAAACGTATATCTAACATGCAAGACTCATTAAGATATGTGAAAACCCTTTGAAAAACCATGCAACCCTTAAAAGCGTGATGTTCGCCTTAAGTGAACTTACAATTACTAATTACAAGAAGCCTTCCTCAATTTCATGGTGATGTTCCAACAAAATTGCATCAAATTACTTGTCTAAAAATACTAATGGTTGCGAATCACTAAGACAATTAAATAGTTTAATCGCAGTGATTAATAATTCAAAGCAAGCGTGCATCCATTCATAAGCAAATTAATAAAATCACATATTCATGCTAAGGTTCATGATATCGCCCTAGCAAAAGAACTTAGTTATGAACAATTATAAAACAAAATATTATTAAGAACATGGAAAGAAACACATCTAGAAAATAAACTTGAATTGTCAAAGGCTTGTGCGTGCGTTTCCACCTCTCCTTCCCTTCTAACCCTAAAAAGTCTTAGAATAAAACTAGGAAACATAATAAAATAATAAAACAGAAAATAAAAGGTTTCCTATTTAAACTGAAATTCGGATTTCTCAGAAAATTAGACCTTTGACCGACCAAATCAACTCCGATTTGGTCCCAAAAGGTCTCTTTTGAAAGCTGGAGATATCCACTACAAATCCTCAGAAGGAACTTCCTCAAAAAATACCATATTGACCTCCAAAATACCCAAAATGTCAAGAAACATCAATCTGGGAAAGCTACACGCTGGGCCTTTATTTGATCGCCACGGTCAAATAGTTTGGTAGAAAAATCTGAAACTTTGATACAATCATCTTGAAAACTCACGAACATCCTCCAATTGGAATCACTCCAAAATTCATCCGTTTGATCACTTTTTGCTCCAAAGAAAATCAAATGTCCTACATTAGAAATATAACTCAAAGTATCAAAATAATCAATAAATTAATACTAAGATTAGGGTAAAATATATAGTCTAATATTCGCTCATCAATATAGCTAGGCGTGCATGAAACATCACCAACCACCATGTTGAAGCGTGGATTGATGACCGAATGGTAGGTATGCATTTTCAATTACAATAGTCAACCATGAAATGAAGGCTCTAGCGATTAATTAATCTGCAAGTGACTTATAGCTTAACTAGTTAATAGTGTTTATTTTTGCACTTGAAGCTCTATGTTTGAATTCCTTTTCATGTAGTTTCGATGAATTAGTTTTATTTATCTTATCGATTGTTATAGAAAATGAGTGCAGTGACGTTTTATGGTTCATACAGCTGAGCCACTTAATGAGATAAGACTTTATTGTTATATCAATTGTCATAAAAAAAAAAAAGAAGAAGTAATTATTCTATTTTTTTAAAACATTACCATAACCTAATTGAAACGTACTAGAATTGCATAATGTCAAAGGCAGATGCCGGATTTTTTTATTAAAATTTGCGGCCGATCGAACAAGAGAGAACTAAAGCGAGAAAATCATGTTTATAGGTTCCTCCAATTGCCCATTTCATGATATTTAAGCGGATTGAAGGATAGATAAACCCTATTTTGATAGCAAAATTCTCAAGGACTTGGATAGTTTGTTTATCAATGACTTGTCCTTTCAAGTTCGACTTTTAAGTTGGAGCATGACACGAATGTTGTTCTATTATAATAAGGTGATTTAGTAACATACGAGAGCTAAAAACTCATTGAGACCAAAAAGCGTGTGTGGTCCAAGATAAGGAAATGACAACAATGCACACGAAGGCAAGTCTCGATTTGCGATCAAGACGGATAATGTGATGACAAGTGACCCTTTGTTGGATGCATCGTGCCCTAGGCTCGGGTAAGGAATTTTTTGTTGACTGGACCTGCACGAGAGAACATTCTATAGGCCCATTGGGCCAAAATGGGTGACTTAATTAACTTGTAAATATGGCGAGGACCAAAAAATAAACTTAAATCAAATATTTCCTCAATTGGAAAGGCCACAAATTTTGAAACGAAAAATTAGAATTGTTGCCCACATACCAATTTGAATTGGAATAGGATACTCTCTCCTTCAAATTTTTTTTATTTATTTATTTATATTTTTCTATGTGAATGGTCACGATTAAATCACGTCAACATATTGTGTTGACTTTTTTATAGAGAGAGAAAAAGAGAAAGGAGAGGGGAGGAGAGAATTTAGATGGGAGAAAATCCTACTCTATCGGAATTTGAATAAAAATTGGTCAAGGCTGAGCCTTTTCTTTACCTTGTAGTACACGCGAGCCACTCCGTAATTTTTTGGAGTCTAAAAATGGGTAATTAGTGGGGGCAATAAATATACAGCCCATAATTGTGAAGAAAAACTCATTGTTCTGCCTTGTCCCTCACCCCACCTCCGACAAGAAAGAGAAGGGAATTGTTGTTCAATCATCTTCCGCTCTCTTCTCTTCTCTTGGTTTCTCAATAGCTTTATCATGGCTTCCTCCTCCAGATGGATAAGGCCTGAGGTACTGGAATTATTTCGATTCTCGGTATCTTATATGGTTACTTCAAAGTCGAATATGAAAAAACCCGATATTGAATTGATGAAGGAGAATAGTTGATCTCATTCTCTCGTCATCCTTTTGACAATCGACACTCTGTTTTTCATGTGGAACCGTTATAAATATTCACTCGATAGACTTTTAGTGAATTGTGTTCTAGATTTGTCGTGTAAGTTTTAATTTTTTAATTTTTTTTTTATCATATATGTGGTAAATTTCTGAATTCCATGCCAACTTTTTATTCTATGATATACTGTACGCTAAATAATATTTTTTTTTGGCATGGACACATAGGTGTTCCCCCTATTTGCTGCAGTTGGTGTAGCTGTTGGCATTTGCGGCATGCAGCTTGTTAGGAACATCACCAGCAACCCTGAAGTCAGGGTTACCAAGCAGAACAGAACTGCAGGGGTGCTAGAGAATCATGAAGAGGGTGAGAGATACGCAGAACACGGACTCCGGAAATATGTCCGTACTGTTAGACAAGATCAGCATGCTAAGCTTATTGCCGAAACTTGTGGAGTTTGACTTCGTTCAAACTCTTATCGTTCCAGCCGTTCCTTGTTTCTAGGGCTGTTTAGTATTTGTTCTTCTGTTGTATTTTTGAACGTATGGTTGTAATCTGTTTCCTTAGTTTTCTGGTTGTAATCCTTTCCTTGTATCTAGGGTTTTCAAACCCAATCTGTAATCATGAAACTCTTATAAATACATGCATCCCACGATTGTTTGGGTATGCAATTGAAGTGAATATTACAAGTGATTAAGTTTTACATGGTATCAGAGCCTTTTTCGTCTAACGACATCGATCCTTTCCCTTCTCCTTCCCACGCTCCAATGGCTGAAAACACTATCACCCCTTCCTCCTCCACTTCCAGCCCTACCACCAACCCTACTTCGAATCACCCCTTCCATCCATTCTCTACAGTCGTCAACATCAAACTTGATAGGACCAACTACCCACTGTGGTTGGCCCAAATCCTTCCCATTCTCAAAAGCCGAGATCTGATGGGATATGTTGATGGTACCTTGATTCCCCCTTCCAAATTTTCCCCATGAAAAACAAAAGTGAAGTGTTTCAAATCTTTGTTAATTTTAAAGCCAATGTAGAAAATATGCTTAATTTCAAAATCAAAACCCTTCAGTGTGATGAAGGGGGTGAATATAAAAACCATGACTTTCACAAATTTCTTACTGCCCATGGCATTTCCCAACGTTTTTCGTGTCCTAAACACCCTGAACAAAATGGAATTGCCGAGCGCAAGCATCGACATATTGTTGAAACAAGTATAGTCCTGCTTTCCAAATCTCACATGCCACAAAAATGTTGGTATGATGCCTGCTCCACGGCTATTTACTTGATCAATCGTATGCCAACTAAACTTCTGTCTTTTGCCTCACCTTATGATAAACTCTTTCAAAAACAACCACACTATGATTTTTTAAAGGTTTTTGGGTGTCGCTGCTTCCCTTGGTTAGTGCCTTCTACTCATAATAAGCTTCATCAGAAATCCAAACCGTGTGTATTCTTAGGGTATTCACTGAACCACCAAGGTTACAAATGCTTGGATCTATCAACAAGACGCATTTACGTGTCTCGCCATGTCCTATTCGATGAGGACTGTTTCCCCTTTAGGGGACTCACATCTGTCTCTAATAACGTCTCCACTTCGGGTAATCCTCAGGTCTCAGACCTAGTATTAAATTTTGATTGCCCTAGCACCTATAGTGTCCCTCCACCTCGAAACCTTCCTCTGGCCGAGCCACCTCTTACCCAGGATATCCATCCTACCTCACTTCCCCGTGTCCCCGACCTCTCCCATCCTGCTACACAATTTTCTCCTATTGCAGACTCATCATGCCCTCCCCTGCTAGTATCATCTAATATTCCCCCAGCCGCCCCACCATCAAATGAGCAAGTTGGGGTCACTCCTGAAACCTTGATACCTGTCACTGCCAGTGGTTCACAACATGTGATTACCACACGCTCCAAGTCCGGAATACACAAACCCAATCCTAAATATGTTATGCATTTAACTGTTGACAAGTTACCTGTTGAACCCACGTGTTTCAGTCAAGCTATCAAGTCTCAGGAGTGGAGGAATGTCATGGTTCAAGAGTTTAATGCCTTGCAAAAATATGGGACTTGGACCTTGGTCCCTTATCATTCCAAAATGAATCTGTTGCCTAATAAATGGGTGTTCAAGGTGAAACGACGTGCAGATGGTTCGGTTGAACGCCATAAAGCTCGCCTTGTCGCCAATGGATTTCATCAACAAGCGGGTGTGGATTACGGTGAGACATTCAGTCCCGTTGTTAAGCATAGTACGATCAGGCTTGTTTTAAGTCTTGCTGTGTCCCACAGATGGCCTGTCAGGCAGTTGGACGTGCAAAATGCGTTTCTGCATGGGTTTCTGAAAGAAGACGTCTACATGCGACAACCACGGGGCTTTGTTGATCAACAATTTCCATCTCATGTGTGTAAACTACAACATAGTATTTACGGGTTAAAACAAGCACCCAGGGCCTGGTTCCAAAGGTTCTCAGATTTTCTGCTCGAACTAGGGTTCCAAGAATCCTCTTGTGACTACAGTTTATTTGTGTTTTGACAACAAGGTGTGTATCTGATCTTGTTAATTTATGTCGACGATATTCTGATTACTGGCAATAGTCCTCATCAAATATCCAGCTTGATTACTCGATTGGGAACGCTGTTCTCTATGAAAGATTTAGGCCCACTTCATTATTTTTTGGGTGTTGAAGTTAAATACAATGGGACTGCTATGCATTTGTGTCAATCAAAATATGCATTAGACTTGCTTTCTCGCACCAACTTCACTGAAGCCAAGCCAATATCCACCCCGGTCCCCTCTGGTCACAAGCTCAGTGCGTATGTGGGGGAATCATATGACAAACCCGACGTGTATCGAAGTGTTGTTGGAGCCCTACAGTACATCACCATAACACGCCCTGATCTGTCCTATGCTGTCAACCAAGTGTGCCAATTCATGCATTCTCCTAAAACTACTCATTGGATGGCTGTCAAACGGATTTTACGGTATTTGAAGGCCACGCACACTCATGGGCTTCTATATAAGCCTGGTTCTACTCAAATCAGTACCTTCTCAGATGCGGATTATGCAGGCAATCCTGATTCTCGGCATTCAACTGGTGGTTTTTGTATATATCACGGTTCAAACATTGTCTCCTGGAGTTCTAAGAAGCAGAAGACCGTATCTCGGTCTAGTGCTGAGGCAGAGTACAGGCAGTTAGCATACACTGCCGCTGAACTATCGTGGTTTCGGTCTTTATTCAAGGACCTGCATTTGCATCTGGATCGTCCTCAGATTTGGTGTGATAATATCTCTTCCATAGCTCTGGCGTCTAATCCAGTTTTCCATGCACGTACCAAGCATTTGGAAGTTGATTATCACTATGTTCGGGAGAAGGTTGTTCGTGGTCAATTATTGGTTAATTACATTTGTTCGCAAGATCAACTTGCAGACTTATTCACCAAAGGCTTGTCCTCGTCTCGATTTCAGTCCCTTGTCTCCAAGCTTCCCGTTGTTCCACAGCTTGTCAGCTTGCGGGGGGCTGTTAGACAAGATCAGCATGCTAAGCTTATTGCCGAAACTTGTGGAGTTTGACTTCGTTCAAACTCTTATCGTTCCAGCCGTTCCTTGTTTCTAGGGCTGTTTAGTATTTGTTCTTCTGTTGTATTTTTGAACGTATGGTTGTAATCTGTTTCCTTAGTTTTCTGGTTGTAATCCTTTCCTTGTATCTAGGGTTTTCAAACCCAATCTGTAATCATGAAACTCTTATAAATACATGCATCCCACGATTGTTTGGGTATGCAATTGAAGTGAATATTACAAGTGATTAAGTTTTACGCGTACCAGAGCTCCAAATACTTCTCCGATCCACTGATGCCAAAGTGAATCAAGTGATGCAATTCATCGATGTGCCGGAATTGGAGAACGTAGGACACGAAGTTTGTTTTGTAAAAGGGTTTATGAGGCGAATTCTATGTGCTACAAGCTTCCAAGTAGTTGCTGTGTGTATGATCTTTTTTATCAATAAAGTTCATATTTTTTCCGAGTTGGATCTATAACTAATTCCCTATAGTGCTTGTGGGATAAGATCAGATAAAATGTCGTAATCTGGTCTTTACACGAACTCGAATTTGTACAAGAATCGCTTCCCGATAGGCAAAAGTCAGGAGCAAAAATTAATGAAAAGACCTTCAGTTCTTGCTCTATTTTATCTATTTCCACTAATGAGTAGTATTAGTTCGTCGTCATCATTCTCGTGGAAGATCTCCTTAAGAATTCTGCCACTAACTTTGAAAACGCAGAGGAGCTATCCTGAATTAGTTGAGCTGAAGAATCATACTGAATGGAGGACTGCGATGGCTCAGGAATTCAGTGCCTTGCAGCGTTGTGTTACGTGGACTCTTGTACCTTACCATCATGCCATGAACTTATTGCCAAACAAGTGGGTTTTCAAGATAAAGAGGAGTGCAGATGGCTCGATTGAGCGACATAAAGCTAGGCTTGTGGCTAATGGCTTTCATCAACAATCCGAGATCGACTATACGGAGACCTTTAGTCCAGTTGTCAAGCATGGCACCATTAGACTTGTTTTAAGTTTGGTAGTTTCAAAGAAGTGGCATGTTCGACAGTTGGACGTTCATAACGCATTTCTACATGGGTATTTGAATGAGGATGTGTACATGAGACAACCACTGGGTTTTGTTGATAAACAGTATCTTAACTATGTTTGTAAACTGCAACGTAGTTTGAATGGTTTAAAACTAGTGCCTAGGGCCTTGTTTCAAAGGTTTTCTGAATTTCTCCTTCAATTAGGGTTCCAAGAGTCCATGTGCGATTACTTTTTGTTTGTTTTTAATCAAAGAGGAGTTTATTTGATTTTGCTTATCTATGTGGATGACATATTGCTAACAGGAAACAACAACACTCAAATGGCATGGTTGATCAAGAAGCTCAGCACTTTATTTTCCATGAAAGACTTGGGTCCCCTTAGTTATTTCCTGGGTGTTGAAGCCACTTACGTTGGTAACAATATGCATTTGGCTCAATCCAAGTATGCCCTGGACTTGCTTGAACGAAAAAAGTTTAAAGATGCCAAGCTTATTTCCACTCCAGTTTCTGCAAGACAAAAATTGAGTGCTTATGTTGGTGAACCTTACAAGCATCCAGATCATTATCGTAATGTTGTTGGAGCGTTGCAGTATTTAATCATTATGAGACCGAATCTCTCCTATGCCGTTAACTAGGTGTTCCAATTTATGCACTCACCCAAGGACACTCATTGGGTGGCAGTGAAACGCATCTTGTTGGAACGAAAAATTAGAATTGTTGCCCACATACCAATTCGAATTGGAATAGGATACTCTCTCATTCAAATTTCTTTTTTTTATTTACTTATATTTTTCTATGTGAATGGTCACGATTAAATTACGTCAACATATTATGTTGACTTTTTTATAGAGCGAAAGAAAAAGAGAAAGGTGAGAGGAGGAGGGAATTTAGATGGGAGAAAATCCTACTCTATCGGAATTTGGATAAAAATTGGTCAAGGCTGAGCTTTTTCTTTACGTTGTAGTACACGCGAGCCACTACATAATTTTTTGGAGTCTAAAAATGGGTAATTAGTGGGGGCAATAAATATACAGCCCATAATTGTGAAGAAAAACTCTATTGTTCTGCCTTGCCTCT